AACCGATTTGGTTTTTTCATGACATTTCTGCAACTTCCCTTTCTTTAACACATGTTAGCTTGAGACTGTGCACTCTTTTAACCAACCATGCAGTGACTAGTTTGGCGTCTAACAAGGATCTGAAAGTTTTGGATTTGAGAGATTGCAGAAACCTCGGGGATGAATCCCTCCGAGCCATAAGCACTCTTCCAAAGGTAAAGACATTGTTGCTGGATGGCTCTGATATTAGTGATGTGGGATTATCATATTTGAGACAAGTGGTCATAAGTTCACTAATTTCACTGTCTCTTAGAGGATGCAAGAAACTTACAGATAAATGTATCTCTGCTCTATTTGATGACTCTTCCAAGTTGGAGTTGCAAGAATTAGACTTGTCCAATCTTCCTAATCTCTCCGACAATGCAGTTCTATTACTGGCAAAGAGTAGGATTCCGTTACTTGAACTGCGCATGCGGCAATGCCCACTCATAGGCGACACCTCGGTAATGGCATTAGCCTCTATGCAAGTTGACGAGGAGAGGTGGCATGGTAACGGCTTGAGGTTGTTGGATCTGTTTAATTGCGGTGGGATTACCCCTCTTTCATTCCGGTGGTTGAAGAAACCATATTTTCCAAGACTCAGATGGTTGGGAGTTACGGGCAGTGTAAATAGAGATGTGGTAGATGCTTTAGCTCGAAGTAGACCGTTCTTGCATGTGTCGTGCCGTGGTGAGGAGCTGGGAGTTGAGCAAGGGGATACTGCTGATGATGTTTACATGCATGACTATGATGAGAGATGGACGAGCTTGAACGCTGGCTTGCAGAAGATGATTATCTTGATGAAGATATGGTGGCGGATGAAGATATGGTGAATGCAGAAGCAGTGGAGTGATCAAACACTTAATTTTTTTATTATGTTGTTGTTAATAATGGTTGTTCTGTTGAAACTATAGTTTTTTATGACAAACATTTTAGTACTCTAAACTATACTAAGGGGAGTGGTGAGGGTTTGAACCCGAAACGAAGCGGGATGAAGAGAAATTCATCGGGACAATCCATCCCTTGCAAAGTGTATCATGTTTTATTGATTACCGTTGTATGATTTACTCCAAATCTGTTATCTGGACCTTTTAATCTCTAATTATTTTGGATAATTGGAAATAGTTTTTCACTTAATTATTCTGAATTTGTTCCACCTGTCGTGCCACTTGCATTTTTTTATGCTACATTGTGATCTCTCTCAGATAGAAATTATAGGGTATTTTCGGTGCATGCAGCATAAATAAAACTAATTAATCTTATATCATATTGTAATTAACCAAACCAGGTTTCATTAAGTTTAAATGTTACTCCTTGAACCAAATCACTCTTTGTACTTGAAATCTGTGTATATGTACAGCATGATCCAAGTCTCCAATTTTCCTACATCCTTCTTGAAAAAGGAAAAAAGAAATTAAAATTTAGAGCACGTTTGAAAATTATTTGATTTTTATTTAGTTGTTTTTTGTGCATAAGATGTGGAGAAACTATAAATGGAGAAGAATGGCGGAGGGAGCGGAAGAAATAAAGAAAATTGAAGAAAACAAAATCATAAAAGTGATAACAACTTAAATACTTTTTACTTTTTACTTTTTTAGCTTTTAAATTACGTTATACAATTCTTCTACATATTTCCCGTTATCCTTCCTCATCCTTCTTCTTCTTCACTCCTTATTTCCTCGTATGTTGTTCATATAAACACAAAAAATTGAAAACAAGAAAACAAGAAAACGAAAATCCAAACGGTTATCATGCAAACCTTTAAGTTCGTGGAATTAGTTCTAAGTTGTGAAGATAGATTGGAAATAGGTCATGATCATGCTAGGTCAAAAGCTCGAATTCATTTCATTATGGCGAGGAAAGAAAAACAAGTTGAAAACAACGTAAAATAGTTTTTTTATTTGTTTTAATAATTTTTTTTTTTTAGTTTCTCTATACATCTCTTCCGCAATTCTACCACTCTACTATATGCCTCTTTTCTCCGGTGTATATTTTCCTTGTCTCTAACATAAAATGGAAACTAAAATTGAAAAACGAAATGATTATTATGGTAGTAAAAATTCACCATCTTCAATCTTAACGAATTTATACCTACAAAACAATCAACACATTTGATCAAGCCAAAGCCACAAGTGCCCACGAGGTGCGGTGGTGGGGTTTGGCCAATGGATCTTTGATGTCTCAATCAATATCTCAAAAAAGAGTCAATGTTTAGGGCATGTTGTGTAGTTAAATGCTAACCAGAATTTGGTAGAGATCAGGTATTTATACATGAGCTTGGTAATGTCGTAGTTAGCTGCTCAAGCCTCTAGAGATGTTGAATTGGACATGGGAATATTTGTGTGTCATGTCCATTTAATGAGGGAATTTTTGTCTTCTTCGAGAAGAAAAAAAATTCACGTGGCGCCTTCTGAATTTTTTAGCAATTTTTCATTCCACAATTATCAAACAACTCCTTAATTTCTCTCGCCTATAAAACAAAAATGTAACATCGTATATTCCAACAATCAAGTTAGCAAAGTAGCTTCTTTGGATTTCCAAAATATTGTGTAAAAGATTCATTGATCTACAAATTATTCAAACTGATTGTGTTTTGGACTACATAAATGCATGGAGTAACAAGTCTCAAAATTTTTGGACATCCAATAAATTTGCAACGTTACAAAGAAGATTAGCATGGTCTCTAACTCTCTGAGCAAGAATGGCACGCATAAATTGAAAAATGGTTTTTTTTTTTAATGGGAGATAACTGGTTGTAAGCCATGGTTATCCTACCTGGTTGTAAGCCATGGTTATCCTACCCTTTCATGCCCGAAGAGATGGTCTAAATTTTTTTTTTTCACTTTTTCTTATTCTGAACCTGTATAACACGCATAAGGATGACACTTATTTACACATTTCGCTCAATAGCATATCAAATGGCAGAACTAGGTAAAATCATTATATAAATTACCATTCATAATGTAGCTTTTCTAGCCTTAAGATTAAGAAATTTTATTTTTTTAAATTAGGGAAAATTAAAAAGAAAAATAAGGGATAAATCAATCGGTTCGTCATCCATGGAAGCATTTGCTATAAAATAAAATAAAAGTAATGGTATGGAGACCAAATTTGTAAATCAAATGATGTAGTTGTTGATGATTGAATTATTACTTTATTAATGACACATCATTTAGTTTGTAAATTTAGTCTAAAATTTTAGTCTACCTAGCATTATCCCAAAAAAAAAAAAAAAAAAATATATATATATATATATATATATATATGTCCTCATTCAATGAACAATGAAAAAAATTGTCTAGGTTAATTGAATGTGCCAACCCTTTAATTTAGTTCTGCTACTATTTATTAAGAACATAGTTAGTCACAGAATTAATGTGTTCTTTGAATCTTTGTTTTATCGTGCTTCTCTTTTGTTAATTTTCAATTGTTTTTAAATGCTTGATCTTATCAATCTCACAAATGTATTCTTTGGGAGATTACATGATTAAAGATTATATCATGCAACCAGTGGCGGATTGTTATGGTTTGGATATTCTTCTTCAACTCAGTGCGATGTGGGTTCAAACTCTCCCTCATTCTCATAGTATAGTTTAGAATAGTAATATTAACTGTATTATTATATAAGTAATGCTAGGGAGATCAAAATTTTAAATCAAATTTGCAAATCAAACAATGTGTCACCAATAAGAAATAAGCACGTTAATCAACAGTTAAGTAATAATCCAATCATCGACAACCACATCATTTGGTTTGCAAATTTCGTTTACAAATTTAATCTCCCTAGCATCATTATATATATATATATATATATATATATATATAAAAGAACGTACCTTACTGGAATATTTGATGAGGAGTACTCCTATAAAACATATAATGAAATACCATAAATAAAAATGAAATTGTTGAGATAGACGTAAAAAAGAATTGAAATATCGAAAATTATATAATACGTACGTTATAGTATATGACATGTACCAAATAAATAAAGAGAAATTTAACGAAAAGCTTCTGGTATTGTTCACTTTAACAAGAAACCATATTTTTATACTAAAAAGTCAATCATGATATTATTCATTTTACCCTTTATTTTTTCATTATAGTTAAAACTCAAAGTTTTCAAGTCGTTTTCATTAATTTTCTTATAAATAAAAGGTATACTGTCTGAATTCCAACGAATACGAAATTTAGTTTATAGTGCATACTAGAACAACCCTAGAAATGCACTCATACTTGAATACGATTCATTTAAAAAAGGGGACGACCATATGAGTTTGGGCGACAATGTTCTAGTCAGGCTGTCAGCGAGGTATAACGGCTCTACTTGATCTTATCTTTAACTGTTTGCGAGGTTAACGTTGGACGGCTCCTTGAGGGACATTTTGGACCCACTAGCCAACCCCTTTGTTATCTTTTTTGTTCCTCATTTATTCATGGAGAAAACATCTCATTTGAGGGGCCTGTATATGTTGTCTCCCCTTCAACAAAAAGAGAGAAATGCTTGCAAATAATATAATACTAGTTTGTCGTTGTTGCCCGGGTAACAATGATATTGTTAACTAGAAAAATAATGGTAGAATGTCAAAATTAATCTAAGTATCAATGAAACCGCAACGGTTGCAAGTGCATTTTGTCATTTTTTATATATTAATACTATCGTTGTTACTACAGCAATAACAATTAAGAACTACATACTATTTCTTCATGATTATTGTTCTCTTTTCTTGTAGTGCAACCTTACTCGCGCATCACCTTCATGGTTTTCCATCGATGTTTAACTATGGTACAAATTTGAATGCTAGTACTTGATAAACTGTCCATAGCGTGGGTGCTTCGATTGTATATACTGTGAAGTAGTAGTTCATCATACTCGAATTTTTGTGCTCGATGTGGTAGTTAGTGTGTGTACTTACCCACCACTTGATTAGGGAAAATCCTCATTACATACAAGTATCTTTCATATATGCCTATATTGTTGCTTGCCGAATAACGAGTTTGGTTTAGAAATTAGACTAACATCGGTCGTACATAATCGTGTTCCATTATCATAGTATTTGATATACATTGGGCCAAAACAAATAACTATGACCAGGGAAATATTCTCAAGATAGAGAAGTATATACTTCTTTTTTTTGTTATGCGTGGTTATTGTACTCCATTATAATCGTTGATAGATTTATAACATAATCAGTACAATCTTATTTTTAATATTTTATAACTTATCCGCAGCTGACGCTACCAACCATTTTTTATTATTTGGGAATTGAAAAAGCACATTTACTTTTGTTTCCCCATTTTGCTCTACATCAAACCTCCAAACAATCAAGGAAAATATTATAGACAACCACCAAACAGGCAAAAAACAAAGCTAAAAAAAACGGGATAAGATTTTATAGTATTGATCTATGGGTTAGAGCGTTGGACTTTGGACTCGGAGAAGCCTCGCACCATTACTTTCTTCCCACCTTCCATTCCCTCGCCGGCCGCCCGCCGCTTCGCTGGCACTCCTCCCCTCAATCCTCATCCAAAATCTCCCTCCTTTTTGCCCCTTCATTGCCCTCAAGGGTCACTTTTCCACTTCCCCCAGTCACCTCCCTCCACGTGGCTCCACGTCACTCCCGTGCTGGGGGATGCGGATCCCCTGTCCGCTCCTGCTGGTCAACAGCCTCTTCGTGTCTTCCCCAGGCGCCACGTGGTTTTACGATGCCGATTTTCCTCATCCCATGTGATTGTTTAATCCCGGAATAATCCTACTTAAGGCTAGATAATATTTTTAATTTCAAGTATTGTCTTGATTTAGAACGTAATTATTTATATATATGGAGCTACGAAGAATACACAGAAATTATCAACATGTTGGCGCCATAATGTCATGATATACGGCAAACTTAATTACATCACTTTCCTTGAATCCTTGTCGTTTGATTTGAATTAATATTCTATTTAAACTAATTAATCCACGATTTGCATGCTTAGCTTATGGGCCGCACATCGTCAACATGGATTATTATAAAATAACCGCCCTTAACTTCACCCTCAGCTTACATTATCAACGACTTGTACTACAAATGGTGTTCTTTCCATTTTTACATAATAGCAGCCCTATCAAGTTATCAACGACTTGTACTACAAATGGTG